CTATCGAAGACCTGAGGAAAATCCAAGGCAAACTGTCGAACAATCAAGGAACACCGAGCCCGTCCCCAACGAAAAGCGTTCCTTCTTCAGGGCCCCGACTGTAGGCATGACCGGGATATGCCTCGATGCAGCGCCGTCCGGGGAGCGCTCGCCGACCGCTCTCCGCAGCGCTCTGGAGGGGCCCCGGCACCCCCGGGGATCCTCCGGCCCCCCCCGAGATCGCGGATATGCCTCTCCGATCCCCAGACCCCCGGACGTCATGTTTTTTTCACAGCGTCCATCCCCGAGAGGTCCAGACCCCTTCCCGAGTCGTTTTTTGTTGCGGTCCCAGGGCCCGACACGGTCAGAGAGCGGCCCGATTTTGTCCTGGTCCTGGCCTCGTCCTGTCGGCTACACGTAGCAGTGACCTTTCGCCTGAGGGACCTTTCGTGCGGGCACACTGGGGTCCCCAGAGGATTGAACGCGATGCGATAGCAGCGGCTTCCGCGCTCGGGCTTGGCACTCCCGCGCCCCCCCCGTTTTGCCGCGCACCAGAGATCACTGCATTGCATTGCATTGCACTGCATTTTGCTTACCTGCTCTCCTCCTCCTCCTCCTCCTTCCCCTCCCCCTCCTGAGCTGCTTAACCCAAGCCCTTGTACCGCTGATGGTCTACGGAGGACCGTTGGCGATGCACTCGTCGCAGCGAATTTTGGTTAGAGCCACGAGCGCTCCTGCCGTCCAGCCCAGGCGTCCCTCTGGATGCTTGGCCTCTTGCCTGCTTGCAGAGACCGCTCTTGCCCAGGGTCACTCCTCCTCCTCCTCCTCCTCCTTCTCCTCCTCCTCCTCCTCCTCCTCCTTCTCCTCCTCCTCCCCCTCCTCCTCCTCCTCCTCCTCCTCCTCCTCCTCCTCCTCCTCCTGTCAGGCTGACCAGACTCTGCCTGGAGGGCGGGTTCATCGCGCACCCCGCGAAGACGAAGGGCCTCCGGGTGCTGGTCCAGTGCTTCGGGAGCGTGCCGCCCCGGGCGGAGACCGTGCTGGAGACGGAGACCCTGGATCCCTCGGTGGAGGCGGTGCCCCTCCAGGACAGCGGCCCGCACGCGCGGTGGGACGGGGGGGGGTAAAGGAGGAGGGGGAGAGAGAAGGAGGGAGGGGGAGGAGGACGAGGAGGAGGAGGAGGAGGCGGAGGAGGCGGAGGCGGAGGAGGAGGCGGAGGAGGCGGAGGAGGCGGAGGAGGAGGGAGGAGGAGGAGGAGAAGGCGCGGAGGAGGAGGAGGAGGAGGAGGAGGAGGAGGAGGACACCTCCTTGGTGGTGGCCTTCATCACCAGCGCTGCTGGGGCTTCGGAGGCGACGGCGCGAAGAGCCTCCTTGCCACTGGTCCCGAGAGGGCCCTTCGCCTATATATATATATATACACATATATATATACATATATATATATATATATATATATACAAGACTGCAGTGGCGCTTCGCGCCATGCTCCTTGGTCCTTGAAGTTTGGCATGCATGCGGAATAGCAGGAAGGTCAAGCCGACAATTTAGCGATAACTCCTTGTTGCCTTTTCTGGCATCGCCGCTATAATAATGTTATTCTTTATCCTTCCTCTATGTTGATTTTTCCCCACATCCAAAGTGGGGTTCTTGTTTTCTCTGGACACCCCGCGCAGGAACAGGAACCCACCATCATCATCATCATCATCATCATCATCATCATCATCATCATCATCATCATCATCATCATCATCATCATCACCATCATCATCATCATCATCATCATCATCATCATCATCACTCATTCCTCACTCACTCACTCACTCATTCACTCATCACCCCTCACACACTCACTCACTCACTCACTCACTCACTCGCTCGCTCGCTCACTCACTCACTCACTGACTCATCAGCACTCACATATGATGATGATGAGTGTGCGCGTGAGAGAGTGTGATGATCATCATCATCATCACCAGTCAGTCAGTCAGTCAGTCAGTCAGTCACTCACTCACTCACTCACTCACTCACTCGCTTTGGGCCTCGTCTGTGAGTGAACTATGAGGAAGTCTCAGGCGGGAGCCCCCTCCCTATGGGGCCCGCGGGTTATGTTACTAATCCGAGCGGGTCATCCAATTCTTGTAACTGTCTCCACTTCTGGGCTCTCGCGCTGCCAGAACGCCATTCCCAGGCCACATTTGGAATGCCCGGAGCAAGCTGTAGGCCACTTCGTGTTCTTCGTGCTCCCAGAACACCATTCCCGGGCCAAATTTGGAATGCCCGGAGCCAACTGTAGGCCACTTCGTGTTCTTCGTGCTCCCAGAACACCACTCCCGGGCAACTTTCTGAATGTCCGGAGCCAAAACAGGAGGGCGAGGTCGGGGGCAACGTAGGGAGCGGGGGGAGGGCCCGCGCCAGGGCAAGAATAAATATACGCAGAAGAGACAGCAGCCAGGACGCCTCACCAACCACGAGGACGACGGTGAGGGCTTTTTCCAGATTCGCCCAGAGGATTCTCATGTGGGGTCCTTCCGTCGGAGTAATTCCTTATTTTCGCCATAACCCTTCGCATTCCCCCCATCCTCCTCAGCTCTTTTTTGCAGAGCTTCTGGAAGCCTCCTCGGTGTATTCTGGGGGCCTCCGGGGGCTTCCTCGGGCCACCCTGCCTCCAACCGCGGTCTCCCTGAACGACCGAATCACGATTTGGAATTCTTCGGAGGGTGTCTTTGGGCCATTTTGGGCCGCCATGGGGCTCTCTGAGGGCCATCTTGGGCCCGTGTTGTGCCGTTTTGGGGTTCTCTTGGACTGCCTGGAAGCCCTTACGGATGGTTGAGGGGCGATTCTGGAGCCTCCCAGGCGGCTTCGGACGCCCAGAAGACTGCCGTCTTGGAGCGTCGGGAAGCCGAAAAGAGGAGAACCCCAACATTCACCGAACGCCCGCAGAAAATCAATTATTTTTGCCGCGGGGGCCTTCTTGGGAGTGCTCTTGGAGGCCTCTTTGGGGCCGTCCTGGAGGCCTCTTGGGCCATCTTGAGGTCACGTCGGTCACTCTTTTTAGTGCTCTTGTGCTGTCCTGGGGGTCCCTGGGACGTCTCCGATGACCCCCCTGATCGCCCTAGGTGTGCTGGGAAGGCTTGGCAAAACGCCCTGCGAGGCCCGGTGGCGGCTTCGAGGCCCGTCCGGAGGGTCCCAAAGCCCCAGATCCCAGGAGTCCCGTTTTGGGGGGGGGGGGGGGGGGACGGGCTTTCCCCCCGCCCGGGCTTGTAAAAATATAGAAAGAGGAATACGGGGGGGAGGGGCAACGAGGCTAGCCGACGGCCGTCCTGGCAAGTGCTAGGTCAGCCGCGGCGCACAGGCAACTAGGCGCTCAGGGCTACAGTGACAGCAGCAAGCTGCAGCGGCAACCAGCATCGCAACGCAGCTCTAACCTCCTTTATCGCTCGTGCCTCAGTACGCCGCATTCTTTTTTGCCTAGCCGGCTTCTCGGCCACCGCCAAACGTTGCGAGCAAGCAGTCTGAAACTCGCCACTCACCCCTTGTCGACGGCGCCATTCTTGTCAGTCCTACCCAACCGCATGCCCGCCTCTTTCAGCCTCAGCTTAGCGCCATACTCTGGATCTGCCTGCAGCGGGGGCGGAGTGCGTGTGTGTGTGCGTGTGTGTGTGTGTGTGTGTGTGTGATGCCAGATGCTGCGAGCGCACCCTCCTCGTCCTCCTCCTTCTCGTCTCCCGTCGTCATCGTTCCCCTTCTCCCCTGCCGTTCCCCCCCCCCGAGGCACGGCCTCTGCGGCCCACCTCCTTTGGAGTGGCGCCCTTGTCCAAGCCCCTTGCGGGCTGCGCCCAGCCCGCCTCACCTTGGCGCGGCACCCTTTGCCTCTGGCGGAAACCGCACCCTCGCGCGCGCGGAATGCGAGATTGCCGCGTCCGCATTCCATTCATGTACATCGAGTAAGCTCTACGAGTTCCCGGCGGTAACCAAGGTTGACGGTTTACCGCCGGCTACCAGCCGCGCATCCTTGTATTGTCCGGCTTTCCATTTTCTCTCCCTCTTCCCGCGTGGCTCTGGCCGTGCGGGCGGGAGATGCTCTGGCGAGTTGCCGGGCCGCTACGTGTGTGTAAGCGTATATATAAATTTTAGATGCATACGCACGTATGCATGCATGTGTGTGGATATATGTATTAATGTATGCGTGTATGTATGTACGCATGCATGCATGCATGCAGGTGTGTGTATGTATGCATGTAGGTATATATATAATTACGTAAGTCGGTAAGCTTGTATGTCTATGTGTATGTGTATGTCTACACATATACACATTAGTATGTATGTATGTATGTATGTATTTATGTATGCACGTATGTAGACTGACATGCAGGGATGCATTATGCATGCATGTACGTACGCATGTGTACATATGCACGTATGGGATATGTCTATGTGTGCACGGATGCTTGCATGCACATGTGTATGCATGCACGTGTTTTTGTATTTTCATGCATGTACCTGTGTTTTTGTGTAGACACGTATATTGAATGAGTGTACTCAGGTACGCATGCATGCACGCATGTAGTGCATGCGTGTTTGTACGCATATATGCATACATGCATGTACGCATGCACGAATTTATGCAGGCATGTGTGTATGCATGTATGTATATATCCATGCCTGCCTGCACGCATGCACGTACGTATGTAAAAGTAGGTGTTTATATCTGTATGTCTGTACATGTGTATGCAGGCACACATGCACGCATTCATGTATGTGGGTATGCCTGTATGCACGCGTGCATGCATGAATGCATGCACGCGTGCATGCATATATGTATGTATGCATTGTATATGTATATGTATCTGTAGATGCGTAAGTATACATGCGTGTGTATGTATATTTGTACGTGTGTTTGAACACACATATATACAAATCCCATGGGATTTTTCGATGCCACGCCCTCAGGAGTGTGTAGATCCAAGGAACTCCCGTGGGCGTCTGGTTGGCGCCCTCCCGAGGACGTGGCCGTGAGGGGCGACATGCGGATCGCGCTGTTTGAGGTCAAGCAGTCCAGTCGGTCGTTCAGCGCCCACGACGTCACCCTCGCTGCCGACAACTTCAACAAGGCGAGGGGCCTTTGTGGACTTCCTCACGCTTCACCCAGGAAGAGGTGGAGGAGGAGGAGGCGGAGGAGGAGGAGGACCAGTGTGAACCCAAGGCTCATCAACGATGTTGGAATAACCCCTCCTCCCAAGGTCCCTCTCCATTGGCCTCTACAAGGGTTAATTCTTTACGCTTCGCGTATCCCCACCAGCCCATCTCAAAACAGCCACTCTTGCGAAGCATGCCGATAGTCGTGTTTTTCAGGCGTGTTTCCGCCTGCCCCCGCATATCTCCCCTGTTCCTCCTTCCTCCCGCCTCCTTGCACATCCTCCTTGTGGTGGGAGCGGGAGAAGGACGAGGCGGAGGAGGAGGGAGAGAAAGCGCTCCTCGTGGTTTGAGTCGTTTGGGGTTTCTCGTCCTGGTGTGAGTCGTTCGGGCCCTTCTTCCTGGTGTGAGTCGTTCGGGCTCTTCGTGGTGTGAGTCGTTCGGGCTCTTCGTCCTGGTGTGAGTCGTTCGGGCTTCTCGTGGTGTGAGTTGTTCGGGCCCCTCGTCCTGGTGTGAGTCGTTCGGGCCCCTCCTCCTGGTGTGACTCGTTCGGGCTCCTCGTGGTGTGAGTCGTTCGGGGCCCTCGTCGTGGTGTGAGTCGTTCGGGCTCCTCGTGGTGTGAGTCGTTCGGGCGCCTCGTCCTGGTCTGAGTCGTTGGGGCCCCTCCTTCTGGTGTGAGTCGTTCGGGCTCTTCGTGGTGTGAGTCGTTCGGGCCCCTCGTCCCTCGCTTGGCGGCCCCAGGGGCTTCTAGGAGCGTCTTGGGTGCCTTGGGGGAGCCTGTTCGGGCCTCTTGGGAGCCTCTTGGAGGCCGTTTGGGGCGTCTTGGGGGCCTCTTGGCGGCCCCAGGGGCTTCCAGGAGCGTCTTGGGTGCCTCTGGGGAGCCTCTTGGAGCCTCTTGGAGGCCTCTTGGGGCGTCTTCGGCGCCTCTTGGGGCCTCTTGGGGGCCTCTTGGGGGCATCTTGGGGGCCTCTTGGAGGCCTCTTGGGGCCTCCTGGGGGCCTCTTGGGGCCATCTTGGGGCCTCAGTGTGCCTCCTGGGCGCTTCTTGGGGCCATCTTGGAGGAAGTCGATCAATGAAGAGGGGAGCTTTAATGAGCGCTGCCCCCTCAGAAGGGCAAAATGAGGCCAAAACCTTAGTACAATCAATGATTTTGCCTTGAAGGAAGAGGGGAGCTTTCATGAGCGCTGCCCCCTCAGAAGGCCCAAATGGGGCCCAAACCGTAGTAAAATCAATGATTTTCGCTTCACAGAAGAGGAGAGGGTTTTTTCTTCCCCCCCCCGTCGGGGCCAGAATCCTCGTGAGGGGTGTCGTTCTTTAGCCCTCCCAGGAGTCGAAAAAGACCCCTCCAACCACCCGCGAGGCGCCCTCTCCAGGCCCAGGGGGAGGGGGTAGGGGGAGGGGTAGGTACACCCTTCCCCGAAGGGGAAGAAGGGGGGTTGAGGACAGAGAGAGCTCGCTAAACCACTCACGCCCAAAGGGCTGGTGGGATTCCCATGGAACGGAAGAGAGTGCCCCGTTGGTATAGCTTTGTTCGAAGATCCTGAAACGTGCCAGAACACCATGCTCGGGTCTCCAACGCCACAAATCAACCTGACTCTTGCGTCTTGACGATCCTGAATCGTGCCAGATCACCATTCCTGGCTCTTGAACACAGCCAATCAACGTAACTATTGCGCCCTGGCTTTCTTAAATCTTTCCCAAACACCATTTCTGGTACGCTAACCATGGAACTCGTTTATTTGTTTGTACATGTTTAAGACGAGTGTGCGCGGCGCCAAGGTGAGAGCCACGTTTTGAAAACCGGCCGCCCTCTACGGTGGGGGTGTTGGTTTAGGAATGTGCCCAGGAGGCTTCAGACCCTGGAGGATTCTTTAGCTGATGAGGGCGGTAGCGATACCACTGGCCGATACACAATTGGAGTTCCAGTGGCTTCCAGACCCCCGATGCCTCATCCAATGCTTATTCAATGCCTCCGCCATATTTGTGAAATTGATGCCAATTTCGAAGCTTCAGGATCATGAGCGGTGAGGAGGTCTCAGGCGAGACGCACTGCCCGCCCTTCGACTGGCCTCGGGGTGCGACAGGGAAGAGCTATCTGCATGAAAGGAACTGGAGGGGGACAGGGAGGGCGGGAGGTCGGGCTTCTCCAGATTTCTGGCCTCGTGGTTTTGCCGCGACGTAGGGAGCCCATCCCGAGGGGAGGGTCTTTCGTCGCAGGCCGTCTGCGTTTTCGGGTACCCGGGGGCCCGAAACCGGATACTCTGCGCCGGGAAGCACGAAGAGGAGCGCTTGCAGAGGATTTTTCGCGCCGCTGGAGATCTGGGAGGCCTGGGTCTCCTCCTCCTCCTCCTCCTCCTCCTCCTCCTCCTCCGCCTCCTCCTCCCCCCTCCTCCTCTCCTCCCTCCTCCTCTCCTCCTAACCTCCTCCTCCTCCTCGTCCTCCTCCTCCTCCTCCTCTCTCCTCCTCCTCCTCCTCCTCCTCCTCCTCCTCCTCCTCATCCTACTCCTCCTCTTCCTCCTCCTCCTCCTTCTCCTCCACCCTCCTTTCCCCTTCTCCTCCTCCTCCTTTGCCTCCTCCTCCTCGTCCTCCTCCTCCTGTGTCCAAAATTCCACTATTGGATTGTCCCCTGCGGTGTGCTCCGACCAGGACTTCGAGGCGAACCCAGCCGTGGCGACGAGGGCCGCCCAGGAGCGCAGTCGTCGTCGTCGTCGTCTCGTCGTCGTCGTCGTCGTCGTCGTCGTCGTTCTCGTCGTCGTCGTCGTCGTCCTCATCCTCGTCGTCGTCGTCGTCCTCCTTCTCCGAGGCGAAGGGCCTCCTCGCGTACTTCTGGCTGCACACCGGATTCCTCTGGCAGGCGGGCGATGCCATCGGGGGCCCGGCCACGCTGGGGCCCTCGCGAGAGCTTGGCCTGGGCGTGGAGCAGGCGCCCGGGGTCGCAAGACTTCGGAGGGAGGAGATCGGAGGCGGCGATAGCAAGAAGCTGGAATATACACATGACCAGTGTAGGGATGTTTTTTAGCGGCGCGCAGAGGGGGATAGAAGGAGGGGAGAAGGCTTCTTAGAAGCAACCCTGCTTCTTAGAAGGCTCCGGCCTTACGTCTATAGAGAAGGCCAGCGCCTTCTAAGAAGCAGGGGTGCTTCTAAGAAGCCTTCCCTCCTCCTCCTACCCCCCTCTGCGCGTGGCCGAGTTTTTCGATCCCAGGACTTTGTTGACGGTCGGGAGCGACGTCGGGGTGGTGTGGTGTACACTTTGTTTCCACTCCCAGGGGAGCCAACGAAAGATGTATGCACCAGGATCCTGTGTACACCAGGGCCAGGATCCGCTGTCCTGGGCAAATTTCAGTGCAGGGCCGGAGAACATGTCGGCGTATAGAGTTCGGTTCCCTAGACGGGGGCGAATAGCGCATGGGGCGGGCATTGCACGCATTCGCCCGGAAGCCTCGCCGAAGGCATGACCCATCGGCGCCCCTGGATACGCGTACTGCTCTCCCTCGTGCTATTCGCCCCCGTCGCCGTCCCCGAGGAGAGGGCGGGAGGGGTGGGCAGGGAGGGCGAGGGGGAGAGGATGGGTGGGGCAGGAGGCGGGAGGGGAGGCGACGGGGAGAAAGAGACCGATGCGACGGACTCGTTGGGCTCGAGGAGGGCGGCTGGCGCATGAGTTCGGGCCGATACACCCCAAGGTCAAGGCTCCTGTTAGACCTGATGGCCGGTGCTTTGCGTCGCTTGCAGCATACCGACGGCAAAGAAGGGATGGGGGAAGCAAGCTGTCGCCACAGCTAGGGCAACGCATACCGAACCCTTTCCGCCCTACGCTTAAGCTAGTCAGCTTCACTATTCTCGTATTCTCAAATTCTGCGACCTGGCACGCTGAGCCAGTCAGCGCGCCCTTTTCAAGGGGCAGTGTAAACGGCCAATGCGCGATGACTGTTTGGAGGACGCGCACGCGCTCGCAGCCAGGGGCTCCAAACAGGCAGTCGAGACCGACAGAGCGTATGAGCGAGTCACAGCAAATTCAAGTGCGACCACCAGATGCGCGCAGAGATCGAATCAGCTGCCCCAGCCAGTGAGGTGACAGCTATGCCACCAGCGGAAGTGACGACAGCAGCCTATACCGCCACAGGAACAGATGGTGCAGCGACTATCATAAGCCGCGGCGCTCCACACATATGCAGCCGCTGTAGCGGCCAGCTGGGCGTGTGCCGATCCTGAGGGGACACCACAAGGTCGTTGCTCATGACATGGAGGTGGATCGAGCACACATGGGACCGCCGGGGCCAGATGCAGTGCGGACGCCACGACGCGCATCCACGGACCGTCATACGGGAGTCGTGCGTGTGGAGGCAGCGACACCGCAGGACCCAACAGTGCTCACACCGCCGCCATCTCCTCTTCTGGGACAAGCCTTGGCATCGGATGCGCACCCCAGCAAAATAGTACCACATATCATTCCGGGTAGGCGAACGAAAACGTGGAGGATGGATATCCGCGCGCAGTTCGCCCAAACATAGTCCACACGTTGCGGGGGATGTGGGCAGAAGTTCGAGACAGGAGAGCTACGGATCTCCGGAGTAAGCAGCCCCGGTCCCTCCCGATTGGCGGGCAGAGCATGACTCCACATTCGATCTCTTCCCACGGCAGATACCATCTCAGGCTCCCTGAACTGGGCGAGCAAGTCGAGGCTGATCCGACGAACCAGCTCAAAGAGGTCCAGTCAGATCTCTGCCGCTGCTCGGAGCCTTCCAGAAGGGGCAGGCCTTGGCGCGGCAGTCCACGAGGCCTCTCCGCGCCAGGCCAGAGGCGAGCGGGAGCACACCGCGTGCCCCCGGCGCGGCAGGAGCAGGCGGGGCAGACACCGACGAGGACCCTGGGCGGGGACGGGCCGACAGTGCCCACGGGCCGTGACGCCCCGGGCAGCGGCTCGAAGGCAGAGCGCCCGCTGGATGACGCCCCGGGCGGCGCCGACCCCTGCATGTGGACGGCGACATCCTGGATAAGGAGGAGGAGGAGGAGGAGGAGGAGGAGGAGGAGGAGGAGGAGGAGGAGGAGGAGGAGGAGGAGGAGAGGAGGAGGAAGGGAGGAGGGAGGAGGAGGAGGAGGAGGAGGGAGGAGGAGGAGGAGGAGGAGGAGGAGGAGAGGAGGGGAGAGGAGGCGGAGGAGGAGGAGGAGGAGAGGAGGAGGAGGAGGAGGAGGAGGAGGAGGAGGAGGATAAGGGAGCACTGGGTCCGAGCAGCTTGGATGTCAGTCGTGACCAACGCAGCGATCACCACGGCCACGATTCCCGAGCGCATGTAGACGGCAGCGCCGGCATTCATGCACGGAGTGTGCCCAGCGAGCGTGGGTAAGAAAGGGGAGGGAGAAGATGATCGTGAGAAGGGGGGGGCAGAAGAGAGAGGATGGTGATAGAGAGGATATCGATGAGCAGGAGTTGGAGGAAGAGGAGGAGGGGGTGGATGAGCAGGATGAGGAGGAGGAGCAGGAGCAAGAGGAGGAGGTTGAGGGATGATGATGATGATGATGATGATGATGAGGAGGAGGAGGAGGAGGAGGAGGAGGAGGAGAAGGAGGGAGAGGAGGGGGATGATGGCGAGGAGGAGTGGGAGAGAGAGAGGGGGAGGCGGAGATGGCCGGTGCGAGGGAGGAGGAGGAGGATCAGTCTAAGCCCTCCCTCCAACAAGTTCCCTCTTCATATGCCTCCACAAGAATGTATTTTCATTGCGGGAAGTGCCCGATTTAAAGACAACCGTCTGAGAATCCTCACTCGTGCCGAATCACAATTGCTGGGATTGCAGCGCCGTGAATCAGAGTGACTGTTGCTTCCGGACAATCCCAAACTGTGCCAGAAAACCATTGCTGGGACTTCAACCATACGAATCAACGTGACTTTGCGACCTGACAATCCTAAATCGTACCAGGAAGCCATCCCTGGGAATTCAGCCATACGAATCCTTATCTGTTGCAGACTGAGCCATGCGAATCCTGGAAAGTGTTGCTCTTAGGACGAATGTGCGCGGCGCTAAGGCGAGAGCCACATTTTGAAAACGGCCCGCCATCCATCCGTGAAGCTGTAGCGAACTGACACATGTGCGCGGCGCTAAGACGGGAGACACATCTTGAAAACGAGCCGCCCTTACCCGTGAACCTGTGCAAACTTCAAAGGCACGTGTGCTTTGCGCCAAGGCGAGAGCCACATTTTGAAAACGGCGCGCCCTCTATCAGTGAAGCTGTAGCGAACTGTTAAGGCGAATGTGCGCCGCCGGTGTGACAGCCACATGTTGGAAACGGCCCGCCCAGCATCCGCGAAGCTGGTGCATAGTTTGAAGCGAGTGTGCGCGGCGCTAAGGCGATGACCACATTTTGAAAACGACCCGCCCTTACCCGTGAAGCTGTTGCAAACTTTAAGACACATGTGCTTTGCGCTAAGGCGAGAGCCACATTTTTGAAACTGCCCGCCCTCCATCAGTGAAGCTGTTATGAACGCTATAGGCAATCGTGCGCGGCGCTGATGCGAGATCCATGCTTTGACAACGACCCGCCATCCATCCGAGAAACTGTAGCGGTCTTTTAAGACGAATCCGCGTGGCGCTAGAGCGAGAGCCTTATTTTGAGAACGACTCGCCCTCCATCCGTGAAGCTGTTGCAGATTTCAAGCTCCAGGGCCATCAGTGGTGAGGAAATCTTAGGCGAAATGCCTGGCCCGCCCTACCGACACGCTTGGGGGTGCGACGCGGATGAGTTGTTCATGAGGAAAGGGATGGAGGAAGATGGGAAGGAGTAGGAGGTGGATGATGCTGATGCTGATGCTGATGATGATGATGATGATGATGATGATGATGATGATGATGATGATGATGATGATGATGATGATGATGATGATGATGATGATGATGATGCTGCTGCTGCTGGCTGATGATGATGATGATGATGATGATGAGGAGGAGGAGGAGGCGGAGGAGGAGGAGGAGAATGCGGAGCAGGAGGAAGGGCATGGTGAGAAGGGGGGAGGGTGGTGGTAAAGGGAAGGGTGGTGAGGTGGCGAGTAGGTGAAGATGAAGTAAGAGGAGGGAGGAGGAGGAGGAGGAGGAGGAGAGGAGGAGGAGGAGGAGGAGGAGGAGGAGGAGGGTGATGATGGATGATGAGGAGGATGAGGAGGAGGAGGAGGGGAGGAGGAGGAGAGGAGGAGGAGGAGGAGGAGGAGGAGAGGATCAGGAGAGTAGGAGGAGGAGGAGGAGGAGGAGGAGGAGGAGGAGGAGGAGGAGGAGGAGGAGGAGCCATCGTGCCATTCCCAAACCGCTCGTGCCCGCCGCGGTCCCTGGAGCACATGGCGCCTGGGCTGCGGGAGCGCCAGAACGCGCTGGCTGCCGCGCGCGGCGCGGCGCTGGCGACGCACGCGGCCACGGGCCTCGCGCGGGGCGCAGCAGCGGCTTGCCGCCTGCTGCGCACCGCCGAGGGCTTGTGCCGCGCGGCCGTGGCGGAGCTGGAGGCGTCCAAGTCTCGCCAGCCTGCCGCGGAGGCCGCTGGGGGTGCTGCGGAGCCGCCTGCGGCTCCCGCGGCGCCCGCGGCGTCTGCTCGGCCTGGAGGCGGCGCTGACCCCGCGGTGCGGGCTGCGCGGCGGCGCCGCCGCCGTCAGCGCCGCGCTGCGCGGCGCGCGGCCGCCAGGGCGAATGCTGTCCCGTCGGAGGACGCGGCGCCCCCCGCTGCGGCGGCGGTCGGTGCCGCGGCGGCCGCTGGGGCTGCTGGCGCGGGCCGCGGGCTCGAGCTGGTAGCCGTGGCGGCCTCGGCCGCCTCCGACGACGCGATGGACGACGAGTGGGCCGATGGTCTCGTTCGTGCGGCCCCCGCGGAGCCCGCGCCGTCCGCTGCTGGTGCGGCGAGCGCGGCGGGCGGAGCGGAGGCCACCGCTGGCGTTTCTGGTTCGGCGGCTGGTGCTGCTGCGGTCGTGGAGGCCGACGCGGAGGGGCGGGCTCGTGCGGCGCTGCGCGGCGCGTGGCTCGCTCGGGGCTTCCGTGCGGCCGACTTCGACTGCTACGCCCACAAGCCGCTGGACTGGCTCCGCGAGTACTCCGAGGGGTACGGCGGCGCGGAGGAGGGCACCTTTCAGGTGGTCAGCGCCGGCGGCAGGCGATCTCGGGGCGCTGGGCGCAGCTCCGGCGCAGGGAGGGGATCGCGTGGGAGACGGTGAGGGCCCAGCCGTCTTGCGCGCTGGCCCGCCGTTCCCCCCCCCTCCCTGCACATCGCGGTGCACTTCGGCGGGTGGGCCGTCGTGCACGAGTGAAGTACGTCGACTGCGGCTTCTTCACGGTCGGGGGGTCCAGGCACCTCAGGTGGTGTTCTGGCCCCCCGCGGTTCGAGTCGGCGATTAGGATCGAACCTCTTCGCAATGTCGAGTCTAAGGAGGAGGAGGAGGAGGAGGAGGAGGAGGAGGAGGAGGAGGAGGAGAGAGGAGGAGGAGGAGGAGGAGGAGGAGGACAAGGAGAAGGAGAAGGAGCAGCAGCAGGAGGATGAGGAGGAGGCGCAGGCCTCCCAGCCTCAGCGGCGTGAGGAGGAGAAGGAGGAGGAGGAGGAGGAGGAGGAGGAGGAGGAGGACCAGGAGGAGGAGGAGCCAGAGGGGGAGGAGGAGGAGGAGGAGGAGGAGGAGGAGGAGGAGGCGGAGGAAGGAGGAGGAGGGCGAGGAGCAGGAGATGGTGAGCAGCAGGAGGACGGCGGTGGGAAGGGGATGATGAGTAGGGCGATTGGAGGCCCTCCTCCTCGTCCTCCTCCTCCTCCTCCTCCTCCTCCTCCTCAACATCCTCCTCCCACGTGTGAGAGAGCAGGACCTACCTCGAAACTTAGAATACTCCGTGCCCCGAACCTCGGGGCTCGAGACAAAACTGGCTCCGTCGGAGCTCGCGTTTAAGCCCTCGCCAGACGGCGCCAGAGAAAGCGGAAACGGCAGACCCCAGAAGGAGTTCGACTGGAGCTCACGGCCAGCCAGACACAAGGCGTCCCAGGGTCGATCGAGCCAGGTCTCCTCCTCCTCCTCCTCCTCCTCCTCCTCCTCCTCCTCCTCACCTCCTCAGCACCTTCCCCTTGATATACCACCACCCTCCCCCCTTCTCACCATCGCCTTCCCCCTCCTCCTTCTCCTCCTCCTCCTCCTCCTCCTGCCCGAGTGCCCTCGGGCGGGACGCCGATCTCGGGCGAAGGTGGACAAGGCCAGCAAGGGGATCCAGACGGACAAGCGCAGGGGCCGGTTCCCGGCCGCTGGGGAGCGGGCTTCGAGGGGGGGGGGGGGAGGAGGGGGGGTCGGGCGAGCGGGGAAGACGCCAGGAAGTGCCCCAGGTGGGTCAGGGGCAGTACGGTAGGTTTGCGTCGTGTCGGCGACCCCAGCGCGGGCGTTCAAGGTTGAACGCCGCCGGCGACCCAGAATCGATCGATGTTGAACGATCGGACGTTGCGTCAGCGGCCGATCGTTACACGAACCTGCCGTATCCACCACCCACCAAGCCTCCTCCGAGGGTCTTCTGGCCCAGGACCTGTCTCTGGCGCCCTCCCCGGCCAGGAGGCCAGGCCCCGGAGGCTGAGGAGGGGGTTCTCTCCGGGGGCCGGCGTCGTCCGCCGTCGTGGGCGCAGGTCTCGGTGTGCATCGCGGCCCGGCCAGGCTCGGAGGCCACTCCTGGGAAGAATTGGGGCCTGGGGCGGGCTCTCGCGGGGGCTCTGGGATCTGCGGCGGCCCGGCGGGGAGACGTGGAGAGGTCTGGAGGACTGCCCAGAGTTGAGTCGGGCCTGTCCCTCTCCAGGAGGAATGTCCAAACATAGTCCAAAAACTAGTCAAGGGACGATTTTTTGAGTTTTTGTTGGCCATTTTGCGGTACTTTTTGTCTGTTTTTAATTTTTCGTCGAAAACCCGCCTGTGGGAGGACAGGCCCGACGTAAGCCCAGAGCGGGTCGGCCTCGAGGGCCAAGAAGGGGAGAGCGGCATGCTGGAGGAGCGGCCCATGCCCGCGAGCGGCCCCGTCGTGCCATTCGAGCCCGAGGGACAGCTGCGCGCTCGGGTGCCCCCCCTTCGGTTGTGGAGAGGCAGCGTCAGTTCGGGCATGTCCTCCTGCAGGAGGAATATTATCAAAAGTAGTTAACAAATGCACTGGGGACGATTTTTGGTTATTTTGGATTTTTTTTGGCCAATTCCAAATCTTTCTTTCAACATCCGCCTGTAGGAGGACATGCCCGACCTAAGGGTAGCGGGACGGATGAGGATTTCGGGGGGAGTGGAATGGAGGGCCCAGTGGCACCGTTCGCATGCGTCCGCGCCGCACATGTCGGCACAACTCTCACACGGTTCGTGGCCCCGTAGTGAGCTCCACTGAAGGCCACAATGGCACTGTTCGCTTGCGTCCGCGCCGCACGTTTCGGCACACCTCTTACACGGTTCGTGGCCCCGTGGGGAGCTCCGCCGAAAGCCGCATTGGGGCAGGGAGGAGGAGGAGAGATTTTCCTTAATGGCAAGCGGCTTTCCTCCAATCGACTTGCGGGGATCACGCCTGGTAGATCGAGGCAGATCCAGATAAATCCAAGCACATCGAGGTGAATCCAGAGAAGCCGAGGTAAATCCAGAGATATCCAGGAGCATGTTAGCCATCGTGGACCCCAAATAGTGGGTTCTAGCATACCAGGCGGTGCAACATATGTGGTGCAAACTGTGTGGTGGAAGCTATCTGGTGCCATCTGCGTGATGCAAGCTATGTGGTGTAAGCTATGTGGTGCATGCTATTGGGTGCAATCTATGTGGTGTGAGCTATATGGTTCAAGGTACGTGGTGCAATCTATGTGATAGGAGCTAACGTACTCGTCAATGTGGTGTGATCTATGTGGCGTAAGCTACCTCGTGCCACCTATGTAGCGTGATCTATGCGGTGTGATCTAGGTGGTGCAATCTGTGTGGTGCGATCTATGTGGTGTGAGGTATGTGGTGCAATCCATTCGGTGCAGTATCTGCAGTGCAAGTCTTGTGGTGCGAGCTCTATTGGTGCAGTCTATGCAGTGCAATAAACCACTTTGACTGTCTTGAAGCTGTCCTCTCCATTGCTCGCGCAAACATCCCATCCACCCACCCGCAACTTGGTTTGCAAAACCTGTTCAGACCGACTACGACGACACCGACGACAACGACTAGGACGACACCGACGACGTCTCCGACGACTTCGACGACGACAACGACGCCGACGCCGACGACGACGAAGACGACGACGACGACGCCAACGAAGGCGACGACGAGGAGGAGGAAGGACGACGACGGCGACAACGACGACAACGACGACAACGACGAGGGAGGAGGGAGGACGGCGACGACGCGAACGACGACGAAGGAGGAAGGACGGCGACGCCGACGACGACAACGACGAGGGAGGAGGGAAGACGACGACGACAACGACGACGACGACGACGGCGACGACATAGGAGGGACGACGATGAGACGCCGACGACGGACGACGACGACGACGTGGGAGGAGGAGGAAGGACGACCACGGCGACAACGACGATGGAAACGACCACGACGCCAAAGAGGACGACGACGACAAACAGGAGAAAAGACAGAGGACGACGTAGGCGACGACGACGACGACGCGGGAGGAGGGAGGACGGACGACGACGACGACGACGACGCAAGAGCGCGCGCGCGCACGCTTTTGTTGAAAATCCGTGTTGCGAAACCTTGGGTTCTTGTAGGTTTTTTGGACGCACGATTTTGAAATCCTTCCGAAACCGATGGGTTTTGAAGGTTTTCGGCATACGTCCGCGACGACGCGCGCGTCTGCACTTCGTCCCATTTTTTGCAGAGGATTCTCGCGACGGCACACGCGCAAGGGCGTTCGACAGATTTCGACATGCGCGCGCGCGAAGCCCGTTTGGTAGCATTTTGTGAAAATCTTGAAAAACCTATGGTTTTCTTAAGATTTCGCAAGAGCTCGCGCGGAAGTTTTTTTAGCAAATCAGTGTTGCGAAACCGTGTGTTTTTGTATGTTTTTTCGGAAACTCGATAGCGAAATCCTTCCAGCACCGAAGGTTTTTGAAGGATTTCGGCATGCGCGCGCGACGACGCGCGCGTGTGCACTTCGTCGCATTTTTGGCAAGGGATTCGTGACAAAGTGTTATGTTAGAAAGAAAAATGTCCCCGCAAAGTGTTATTTGACAGGGAACCGCAGGGGGGGGGATACCGGCTTGGCTGGGATGGTATGAATTCATATTTGGGATGGACATGTGGTCAGAATCATATGTGATTTACAGCACTCGCGGGGGAACCGATAAGTCCAGGGGGGGGTAGAATCTATTACTCTTTTAGAAAAGAGAATCCACTTTGACCGTCTTGAAGCTGTCTTCTCCACTGCTGTGCAAACATCCCACCCTCCCACCCGCAACTTGGTCGCAAGACCTCGTAAGACAAGACCGTGACGGTAGGTACCATGGCCTTCGGCACGACACTGACGCGACGACGACAGCGACAACGACGACGACGGCGCCGCCGACACCGACTACGACGACACCAACGACGTCTCCAACGACTTCGACGACGACAACGACGAAGACGACGACGACACGACGACGGACGACGCACGACGACGACGGCGACGACGCCGACGACGATGACGACGACAACGACGACGACGACGACGACGTCGCCAACGAAGACGACGACGAGGGAAGGAGGGAGGACGACGACGACAACGACGACAACGACGACAACGACGAGGGAGGAGGGAGGACGGCGACGACGCGAACGACGAAGAAGGAGGAAGGACGGCGACGCCGATGACGACAACGACGAGGGAGGAGGGAAGACGACGACGACAACGACGACGACGACGGCGACGACATAGGAGGGACGACGACGAGACGCCGACGACGGACGACGACGACGACGTGGGAGGAGGAGGAAGCACGACCACGGCGACAACGACGACGGAAACAACCACGACGCCAAAGAGGACGACGACGAACACCAGGAAAGGCAGAGGACGACGTAGGCGACGACGACGACGCGGGAGGGAGGACGGCGACGACGACGACGACGCCAGAGCGCGCGCGCACGCTTTTGTTGAAATTCTGTGTTGCGAAATCTTGTAGGTTTTTTGGACACACGATTTTGAAATCCTTCCGAAACCGATGGGTTTTGATGGATTTCGGCGTACGCGCGCGACGACGCGCGCGTCTGCACTTCGTACCGTTTTTTCCAGAGGATTCTCGCGACGGCACACGCGCAAGGGCGTTCGACAGATTTCGACATGCGCGCGCGAAGCCCGCTTGGTAGCATTTTGTAAAAATATTGGAAGACCTATGGTTTTCTTAAGATTTCGCACGAGCTCGCGCGTAAGCTTTTTTTAGCAAATCAGTGTTGCGAAACCCTGTGTTTTTGTATGTTTTTTTGAAACTCGATTGCGAAATCCTTCCGACACCGAAGGTTTTTTAAGGATTTCGGCATGCGCGCGCGACGACGCGCGCGTGTGCATTTCGTCCCGTGCTGTCCAAGGGATTCGTGAAAAAGTGTTATGTTAGAACAAGGCATGTCACCGCATAGTGTTTTTTACAAGGGAACCTCAGGGGGGGATACCGGTTGGCCTGGGACATTGTGATCTCATATTTAGGATGGACATGTGGTCATAATCGTATTTGATTTGCATACCCGAAAGGGGGGGCGATAACTCCGGGGGGGGGGTAGAGTTTATTCTTTTCTTAGAAAGGAGAATGTACGTGATGTGGGCCATGTGGTATAGGCCAGGTGGCGCTATGCCATGTGCAGCAATGCCCAGCAATGCCCAGCAATGCCAAGCAATGCCAAGCACCTCAAAGCAGTGCAGTGCAGTGAGAAGCACCACGAAGCGGGCGGCGACGGGGCGGCGGGCGGGCGACGAGGCGGCAACGGGGTGGCGACGGGCGGCGTCGAGGCGGCGACGGGCTGCGACGAGGCGGCGGCGGACCACATGGCGGCCAGAGCGGCTCCTCCTCCTCCTCCTTCTCCTCCTCCTCCTCCTCGTCCTCCTCCTCCTCCTCCTCCTCCTCAGGCGGCGGGCGGCGACGGGCGGCGACAGGTGGCAACGAGGCGGCCACATGGGTGCCAGAGCGGCCCGCAGGCCCATTTCCTTCGAAGACGAGAAAGAACCCCTGAGTGGGCGCACTTTTTCGGGAATTTTTGGGGCAAGTCATGGACGATCCGGCGCGAGTCGAGGGACACCAGAAGTCCTTAAGCCCTTATAACGG